GGCAGGGCTTGGTGGAGTGCGCCAGTGATACCACAGCCTTGGGGAGGCTGAGCAGGAGGCTCAGGAGCTAGGAGCTGGCCTGGACAACCTAGCAAGGCCAGTCTGAAGGAGACAAACACGGTGACACGCACCTGTGGTCCCAGTTACTCAGGAGGCTGTAACAGAAGGATTGCAGCATAGCAAAACCCTGTCTGAAAAACCACAAACAACAAGTAACAAAATGAGTTAAAGAATCAACTCCAATTTAAAAAAAAAATCACTGCAAACAAATATTTATAACATCCACTTTAACTTGACACTAGGATACAGTGTTGTAAGCATTTTGAATCCTATCGCTATACTTTGTTTCCGTTATGTTCTATAATACTAGTCTTAAGTGTTGGATAGATGCATAATCCGAAAGATATTATTATTTTTATTTTTCTTACATACAATTTTTGGACACAGACTCCTTGCTAATATTTAACGAAGTGTTGCACTGTTAGAAATGGAACAGTGACATTAGATGTGTGGCTGAGGGGAGGAGGAAGTCCTATATGTAGTTTCCTTAAACACTACCCTGGAAAATTAAGATGAATTAACAGCCACAACTAGCCCAAAAGACTCCTCTCTAAGGACTGGGAAGAGTCTCATCACCATGGGTACACGGCTTGGTGGCCATACTAAAAAGGAAATTGTACCCCTCATTCCCTCAGATGATGCTCATCAAGGGAAGAGCACTGCACACAGATGAGCAGTGGCCCTGGGTAAGAAGTATAGAAGCTATCTGTTGGACACTGATTACATGTTTCATACAGAAATTCTACGCCATTAACCAATGAGGTAACAGCCATATACAAATGTTACAGATCTAGAGAAGAAAGCTATTAGCCTCCCCACATTTACACACTTCATGTAAGAACCAGGGCCCAAATTCATACATAACAGACTAACAACTTTCCTGACAAAAATTGGAAGGGACCATGAAAAAACCAGCAAGTGTTCATTTGACCTCTCCTCTACTGCCTGGTTTGTCTGTGTCTAAGAAAGACAGAGAGATTTCAAACTCCAGAGATTAACACAAATATTCCATGTGCTTCTGGAGAATGGAAAAATGAAGTGAAGAACATAGTGATTCTTAAAGGGAAATAGACAGCTGATGTGACCAAAGAACAGATGAGTGTCTGTGTTCACAAAGTTTAGGTTTGTTACAGAAGTTCAGTAACCTACAATGAGTTATCAAGGAAAATGGGTAGCATCTAGTTGAGAAAAAAGGAAAAAAGGAAGTCATCTAACTATGAAGACCTACTAGAGAAGACGGGGGAACTCGCACAGCCGGCACCTTCTCTGCCTATTAGGGAACAGAAAGCACATTCTACTCATGGAGCAAGATTTCAGTTGCCTAGACCAGAGCCTCCACAGAGAGAAGGGCAAGTGAGGAGCATGGTCCTCAAGAGAGAACCACCATCAAATGGGTCATATAGGAAACACTGATCACTTTGGAAAAGGGCAGAGGAAGGTGAGTGTGCCACCAGTCCTGAGACCAGAACCATTTCCCAGGCATGGATTCAGTTTAACCATCTTCAAGAGACAGATAAGTTATTTTGAAAACTGTCATTGTTAATAGGAAAGGATTAATGTTAATCAAGCTCTCTGATTACTCCAGTAACTGGCAGCTCACCCACATTCTAGGCATTGTCTACTTAACACTCTTCACTCTACCTAGCCAGGCTTCAATTAGCCAACTTTTTTTCATTCTGCTTCTCTCCCATACCAAATTTCACTAAATGCCACTAGAAAGGACTGTCCTTGCTCTGACCAAACCATTCTATCCCTGTGAAGAAACCATGCAGCTAGCCAAATTATAATCCCAATCCCTACAGACTGACACGAAGCTTTCAATATATGCTCTACGTGGAAGCTCATTGCTTGTCCCTCTGAGGGCTCTTTGCCAGATCCCGTAAGAGCCTCCTCTGAGGCTGGTCTTGACCTTCACTCAGGTCGAATCCCAGATTAGACTTCAACTTCCTCCTATACACAAACAGTTCTGCCTTTTCTGTGACCTGATTCAGAAGGACTTGGACACTGCCTTGGTACAATGTTGTATAGCTAACAGAAATATCTAAGACTGGGTGGTTTATAAATAACAGAAGGGAGTCGAATCCTGACCCTGAAACCAATAGGGAGTAAAGAAGATCAAAATCGGTTTATTGTGATTTAGTGCCATACCATAACAATCAGGTAATCTTTCACTTGTTCATGAAGATGGAAAACTCCAAACCTAATGATGAAAGAGACAGTCAGTCTACAGCACAGAAGAGATGTCAGAGAGGCTAGCTGGGCCAGGAAGAAGCCTTCTATTGGTTATGAAGAACCCACAGGAAGATAAGGAGGAGTAACAATCTGCTAGGCGCCCCAGGTGGAAAAGTCAAAAGAGAATTACTGAGACAACAACAGGGAATTAAAGACGACACATTACCACAAAAGTCAGGTAACGATAGAAGTGAAGACTCTTCAGAAGAGGTATCTAAAGACGACTTTATGATATATCTCATTGAGCATTTTTTCATATGCCTTTTGGCTGTTCATATATCTTCCTTAGAGAGTTGTTTATTCAGCTTATTTTCCCATTTTTAATTGGGTTGATTGTTTTTTTGGGGGGTAGGGGATAAGCTGCTTGAGTTCCCTGTGTATTCTGGTCACCAATGACTTACCCTGCTGGACAAATAGGAAACATGGCAGAAAGTAGATAAAGAGGGAACCAACCTTGGAGAGCAGTGGGTCAGACTAATGCAAACTGTGGTTCTTTCACATTCAGTATGAGAATAAAATAGTAACTGTAATAACAGGAGCCAAAAATCAGAGGATAAAAGTGAGCCATTTGCAGGACATTCAAGAGAAGAAAACACGGAAAGTTCAAAGGCATGGGGCCACCATCTGACCAGCTGTTGTTGCCATCTGACATGTCTGCAGAAGCAGAGAGAATGGCAGGTGGGTACTGAGAGAGTTAAGAAACAGAGTCCCTCACTGTTATTTTCCCACCACACTGAAGGTGGGCCTTTCCGTCTTCTCTACTTCTCACTGCATCCATCCTCTGAGGGTGGGGCCCTATGATCAAAGCTACCCATTAGACCCACCTCTTGAAGGTCTCACCACCTCCCAACACCATAACACTAGGGGTGAAATGCCAACACAAGAGCCTTGGGTGAACATACCATGACCCAACCAATAACATTCCAGTCCTGGTACCCAAGGCTCATGTCTTTCTCACACATAAAGTTCAATTAGCTCACTCTAGTACTCCCCAAACTTTTAACTTATTCCAGCACCAACACGAAAATCCAAGTCCAAAACCTCATCTGTGACTCATGGCAAACTCCTTCTAGCTGTGAGCCTGTAAAGTCAAGAAAACATGTGTGCAACTTCATACATGTAATAGTGGGGCAGGCATAGGGCAGAAATTCAAAAACAAACAAAAATAAAGGGGTGACAGGACCTTATGCAAGTCCCAAACCCAAAGAGGTAGATGTTACATCTAAAGCTTGAAAATAATCTTTGATTCCATGTCCCACATCCTGAGTAGGAGTTGGGTCCCCGTGGCCTTGCTGGTCATACTTGATTGAGTTCAGTACCGATCGCTTTCCCAGGTGACCACTACATGTTGCTGGTGGCTCTGCAATTCCAGCGTCTCCAAAGTGACTCCACTCCTGTGGATCCACTAGGTATAGTCCTGGTGGGTTCTCTCGGCTCCATCTCTACATTCTCCAATGGCACTACCCTAGTGGAAGCTTTGTCCTGTGGCTCTCCTCCTGTGACCAGTCTCTGCCTGAGTCCCCAAGCTTTTCTATGAAATCTAGGTGGAGGTTGCCATGTACTCATAGCTCCTATCTTCTGCACACCTGCAAACTTAGCACCAGGTATACTTCCATAGGCCAAGAACACCCCAGCAGCTAACTGCTTCGACCAACAGCCTGTGCCACCCACATCTGTGGTTCAAGCTACATTGGGGCGCTCTGAGTACAATGGAGCAATGAGACACTTTGCTGAGAGCTCAGGAGTGTTCCGGGTAGCAACCTCACCACAGTCCTCTCCAGAAAACGATTCTGCTGCCTTAGGCTTCCAGATCTCTGATGGAAGTTTTAGATATCCCTGAGGTGCCCTCCACGCTTTTCCTCCATTGCCCTTTCCGATTACTCCAGTAACTGGCAGCTCACCCATGTTCTAGGCATTGTCACTCTACCTAGCCAGGCTTCAATTTTCCAACTTTTTTCATTCTGCTTCTCTTCCATACCAAATCTCACTAAATGCCACTAGAAGCAACCAAGCAGAGGCCTGAGCACTTGGTGACTTAGAAATTCCGTCTCTTGGAGAATTTAGACCACCCATTCTTACATCAGGCCTTCCGCAACAACGAAAGACACGCAGACCAAGCAGCCAAATGTCCCTTCGTCCAGCTCCACCGGCTCATTTCCACCAGGCACCTGCTCAGTGTCCCTCACTGTCCACGTCCCTAGCAGCACCGCGGCCACAGGTCCTTATCCGGTCTCTGAAACATTCCACTTTCTAACATGTCCTCTTCATGAGCCTCCACGACTCTCCCAGGTTTGCTCTTCACCTTCGCCAATGTTGGCCCATGGCCTAGACCCAAGGCCACTGTGCCGTTTCGGGCATCTCCATAGCAACACACCCAGCACTGGACTCCTACCGTCCCGTATTAGTTACTGTGTGGCTAAGGGAAACAACCAGACGGCGCAGAAGCGGGGTGCTTACGACGAACTGAGGTTTACTTGTCTCTCAGCTGGGGCAGGGATGGCAGGACTCCACAAAACCGCAGAAGCAGAGCGACCCCGGAAGTGCGGGAACGGCACGCCCACTTCCTTTGCTAGCCCCGCCCCTGCTCCCAGCCAATCGGATGGTTCCCACCCACATGCGGAGCTCTGGGCTCCGGAGCAGAGTGCATTAACCGATGGAAACGGCGGTACCCATGGAAACCGCGGTGCCCATGGTCTAAGCCTCCCACGATGGTGGCTCGAAGGTCTTGCCACCTCCCAGCGCCATCATGTCAGGGATGAAATTCCAGCCCGTGCACTTGGGCGGAGCAGAATCTGAACCTGCAGGCGCAGCCTCGGGGTGGCGCGGCCTCGGTGATTGGCAGTGAGCTCCCAGAGGCTGCCGGTTCCAACTGTGCCCTCTGGCTCAGTGCCACACCCAGGAGATGCGTGGACTCTGGGGTCAGTCCGTTAATTTGGTGGGACCGTGCACGTGCAGGCCGGACTTCGGTTATTACCGTAGAATCGAGAATCCGTGAGAAAGCGTGGCTTAGCGAGACACACAGCCCTGACCTCAGAGATCTCGGAGCAGACCACAGGCAAATCCGATGAGTTGCTTTTACAGATTTGCACAGCCTCATCCATAACTTCTATCCTTTTGTACTCTCCCTTATTTTTGAACATTTTGCGATATTGGGTATAGCCAGATGGGCAGCTGGAGCCTGGGGAGCTGTGGCAGGGCCTCTGTCTGCTTGGGGAGTTGTGCACCCTGAGTGGGAGGTGGGAGCTGGGCATGGGCAGGTCAGCCCATTCAGCTGGACACAGGCAGGTCTTGGCTTCTTGGCCTGCTGAAGCTCAGAGTTCTGTTGTCAGAACTCTGTGGCCTGTAATGTGTTCAGGGTCTCAAACCTGGTCATGCTCAGATGGTGCTGTTGGCTTCTCTCAGAGGGGATGGGAGAAGCGGGTGAGAATCCAGGGGAGGGGCCCTGCCCACAACAGCCACTGGTCTGTCTCAGGTTCAGACAGAATCCCAGTACTATATGCAGGAGATGTCCTGGCGAAGACAGAAAAAGTACCGTCATGTTAGCTGGGCTTCCGCCTCTTGGTGCCATTCAGCCAGCCTGGGGGTTTATCCTCTTCGGGGAACCATGGGTTACTTAGCTTAGGACAAAGGGGATGTTTCTGTTGCCTTTAGTGCCCCGATAGGCAAGCCCCCTCCTGCCCACATTGAAGTCGATGTTGCACAAAGCCAGAATTGTACCCCTGTTAATCCTTGCTGGGATGGAGGAGCCCCATCCAGGGATGTTCTCTGTCTCTGTTAATTGTGCTGTTGCTAATAAGCCAGAAAATGGCATGGTGGTAACCTTAGTGCCCCATCACGTTTTATATGCTATTTAATCTCAGGAGAAAGAAATACTGCAGCCGCTTCTCCATAAATCACACTCCAACATGCTCTCTCCCTCTGTCCACATTAACAAAGTCCCATGACCATCTCAGAAAGCCTCTGTGACCCTTTACTCCTCAGCACCAAGCATCCAGTCAGAACCGGTGTATTTTGAAGAAGCCATTTCTATCTCTGTGTTGGCCTCATGGCAGGCTAATGAAGACACGTGTTTCCTGCCGCCTCAGCACAGGTGTGAGAGGGGGGCTCAGGGCAATTACAGCCCAGAGACGTGGTCGAGCCCCCAGCATTCGTGGCTAGACTGGCAGCCTCGGTTCTGTCCTGCAGGGTTTGGTCTCACCTGGTTTCAGGGAGACGACAGGAACACCTCACCTGAGGAAGCTGCACTGATGCGAGCATCACCTGAAACCAGCAAGTGTAACCTCTGCATCGAAGAGACACCTGACACTCATGAGTCCTGAAATGAATCATATTAGTAATAAATATGAAATAAACACATAACTGGATAATAAGTGCCCCTCTTGGCATTTGCCATATTTTCATCTTACCCATATGTCTGGACAACTTGGAATGTTGGAATTGCAAGAACAGAGGAGTAGACAATCGGGAGTGAGTCTGTTCTCTGGGGAATATGATGCTGTGTGTGGTGGCTTATAGACCCACAGGGGTTACAGACATTCTCTAATGCGTTTCAAATAAGATATTATTTGTCAACTCTTAGGGACTAGTTTAACTGAAAATCCAAATTACCTGAATAATTAATTAATTGTAATAAATGTGACAATTAAGTTACTAGCATTATTTATAAAACATGCATACTGTATAATAAACACAATAACCATGCGTTCCTACTCATAATAATGAACGGTGAACGGGACGGAGAGTCCAGATGCCTCCAGACTTGCGTTGTACACGTCGATGCTGGGGAAATTTGTTTTCATTGCTTTGGGAGGGATGCTGGTTCTCTGCCTAGGCATCCTCTGCCGCTGCTTCTCTCAGGCAAACCCTATTTGTGTCTTAGATCACGATGCTCTGAAAACCATTTCCCTGACCTTCACATTTGACTTTGATTCCGCATCAGCTATTTAAATAAGAAAATAGTAAGCCGGCGCACGGCAGATAAAGCCTGTTCCTGGGCAGATTTGTAAACGGAAGGAGGACGCTGGTGTTTGCCACCGGCATGTGGGAGAGATCAAAGCCAGATAAAGGCCCTTTTAAAGGCAGAAAATAATGAATATGAGGAGAAGATGGGGAAAAAAGAGAAAAGATTTTGTGGGTTTTTTAAGTGCAAAAAAAAAAAGTTTCTTCAAGAAAAAAACATTTCTTTTCTTCTCCTGAGAGGGAGCAGCCTGTCCCTGCCTTTCCAGATTAATCAAGTGTTTAAGTCGAGGGGGTCCTTGACATTTTGAAGTGTGTGAGGCTGAAGTGGTTACCTCTGACACAGAGTGCTCAGCGGTGAATTTTTATACTTAATGGGATGCAGGGTCATTTCCCATGAGCTATTTAGGGGACCTTTGTAGCTTCAAAATGCAATTCTTCCCTCAGAAGTGCCTAAAGCTGATTATTAACCATGATTCATAAATTCTTCAGAAGGTGATCAAGTTACGTTTATACATTCAGATGGTGACAGAAAGCAGCCTTCCTCCTGACTGTAAATACCTCAAACCACTTCTGCGGGGTATTTTAAATGCTTTTCTTCTTTACTTGTGTTTGTACAACATATTTTTTGGAGAAAAAAACTGCAGAATCCATTTACATGTGTTTAGGATGGGAGTGGGAGGTGGAAGTAGGATGGGAGGTGCCAAGTGACAACTGGCTTTGTGCCCTCCCTCCGAAGTAGAGATCCCGACTCGGGCACAATGAAGCCGACGACGTGAAGAGGAGCAGCGGAACAGCAGGTGGCCAGGCGGTCGGTAACACACCGAACACTGGGGCCATTCAGCCTCAGTGTCATTATGACCCCCAGGGACAGCCCGTGTATCTGGGGGAGAAACGCCCCACACACCCCTCTGTGGCATTCTTGGCCACCAGCACCCACTCGCTCACCTTGCCTAGGCGAGGAGCCGTCCCTGTCCCACAGAAAGCAGCCTTTCCTCCCTGACCAGCGGATGAAGAGGACCCCAGCCACAGACTCATGTTAGAATATTTATGCTATTTGTGTCACATGGGAACAATTATGAAAAATGAATTTCGAGTCCTGTTCATTACTCTGTGGATTTCAAGAGCGGGGGTAAGATGCCAGCCTTGGGCGGCAGCAGCCGTGGCCAGTCTGGACCCTCCCTGCACTGCGTACCTCCTAGCTCTGTGAGGACATGTGTTTTATTTTATCACATGACCAGGGCTTCATTGTGTGAAGGCACAAGTGGGGTGTCTCCTAAGCAAGAAGGTGGGAAGTTCCATGTTTCCAGCATACGTTGGAGCAGGCATCTTCTTCAGGGTGGAAATCCCCTTGGCTGTCTGCTGTCTCCCCTGCAGTCTGAGACATGAATTAAGTCAGGTTGCATGTACGAAGCCCTGAAATGAAAGTCCTAATTGGTCTCCCCTGCAGTCTGAGACATGAATTAAGTTAGGTTGCATGTTACGAAACCCTGAAATGAAAGTCCTAATTACGCTGGAGTGCGACTGTCACTTTAGTCCAGAACGGCTGCCCAGAACCAGCCTCCGGGGGTGCCGCCCCGGCAGGGTCTACAGCTCATGACGCTCAGAGTCTCCGGTGAGACATTTGCAGTGACACGTTTGCTCCCTAATCCAGGTGAGACTTTAACCACAAACTTTGAAAAAGCAACATATTAAGTTAATACCTATAGAATTCTTTGATTTTGAGAACTCCTTACCTTCCAGAATTTCCTTTGATCCAAGCTCCATTAGAGATATCACTAAGCTGACAACTGAAACATTGAAAGAAAGTTTCAGAATTATGTTATTAAAAGGATAACATATATTAATAATGTGATTACAGATGATGTCCCCGTCCACATTTGATGTTTTATGCAAAAAGACCAACACATTTCTTTATGGTACTCTGTTCTGATCCTAGACTAGCGCCGTTAGAGAACTTCCACGCAGGGAAGAGCGAGGTGACATGACGGTGTGATTCCATCCCGCTATGCCTGGCAATTGGTTTTTAATAGAAATAAAGCTGTCAGTGTTGGGATTATCCCGAAGCGTAATTGAGCGGTTGCCCTTCCGAGATCAGAGACTGTATACCTGCTCTCGTGGAAGGGTGCGGGGGCTGGACCGCGTCACTCAACATTCACGCTTTGGAGTCCTCACCCCCAGGACCTGAGCACGTGAGGGCATCTGAGAGCAGGGTCCACACAGGAGCGAGGACTAGCACGAGGTCACACAGGCACTGTCCCAGCACGACTGGCGGCCTAGAGAAGCTGTGGACACAGACGTGTGGCGAGGGATGACTGTGAGAGGACACAGGGAGAAGAGGGCCGTCCACACGCCAAAGGGAGAGGACTCAGAAGCAGCCAAACCGGGACCAGCAGTTGGCATAATGGCTATGTCACTGGACTCCCATGTAGTCAACTGTGGTTCGAGTCCCAGACCCTGTGGCTTAAACTCACACTGTGTGTGTTTGTGTGTGTGTGTGTGTGTGTGGGTGTGTGTGTGCCTAAGACTCTGAGG